AGATGTCCTCGGAGATTACGACCAACCCTTATGGCAGATACCGAGCCGTGTATGTCCTATCGAGGAAGACCTCCTCGTTGAGATCGTACTAGTCTATTACCCTACCGAGCTCTTCTTCTATAAGTATCGAGTAGATCTCTCGAGAAGGACCCACAGGGGCACCCTGCATGGATGAATTGGTCCCTTCCTCAACTCTGGTCGTTAGGGGGTCCATTCTGCAGTCTACAAAAATGACAAGCAAGGAACCATTCAGTCTTCGTACACTGTTCCATACGATGACGTGGAGGAGAAAATATTTTCTCCCTCAAACCCTAGAAAAACCCTAAACAAGATATTTGAGAGCCACCATCAATGGCTCTGACCCAACGGAGAGTATTTCGTCTCCAACAAGCTACTGACGGACTATCAATGCTTAAAAACACCAGAAAACAAAAAAAAAAAATAGGCAAAGGTGCAGAGGAAATAATTCTTACCTCTCGGAATGAGAAGAATGAGTCCTCTTGCTTCAAGTGTCGAATACACACTGGTATTGAAAGGCTAAGAATCAGAGCTCACGAAAATCTCTTGTTCTCTCTAAGGAAGTGAAAATCGTAACAGTGCCTGAAATGAACCTGGATTTTTATAGTGGAAGGAATGGCGCTTTGGTTTCCCGAAGTCAAATGACGTTTGGGTGGAAAAACATATCCCCGTTGATTGCGACCACGTGTCATAGATCAACGGAGAAGAGTGACTGTCATGCTTCAAGAAACCAAATCGTCGTTCTCTTCTGTTGAAAAACTTAAGCGACGGCACGTTTTCCCTCCACATTTAATGCGACCATATCCGCATTTAATGCTCTGATAGGGAATGTCGTTTCAGCATGACTCGTATTTAATGCGCATGGCTGACACTTATTGCGCACAGGACACGTCTGTCAGAGTAAAAAGCACTTCATTAAATGTATCTACTGCAAATGTGCAACGGATAGCATACAAAGAGGTCATTATGTAAAACGCTTCATCTTGCAAGTCGCGTAGCGACGTGGCTCTTCGGCTTCAAAATATGCCAGACTTTGAAGCAACGCTATCCCTTGCCTTTGGTGAGTTCTAAGTGTAATCAGGTCATCGATTTCAAAAGAAGGCCAGTCACCGTTATGGCACTGATCAGGTTACTGACCCTTAAGGTGAAGACTATCTCAGGTTGCTTGCACAAGAGCGTTTCCACAACCTCCATGCGTCCAGGTCGGGATGGCAAGAATCTCGACAAGCGCATCAAATCACTGCATAATATGTAGTTTCTAAAGTTCGATTCTCAAATCTTAAAAACTAGGGGACTTCTGTTATGCCTGAAAAAAGTAGGGCTGACGTAAGGCCCAGTCAGCATGAAAAGTAAGAGCTTAGGTAGACCCGCAGCTGTGAAGACACAGCCACGTCATGCGAGGACATGAGCAGCATGCTTCTGTCAATGTAGTAGGTGCGTGTTAGACTAGCCAGGAGCTAGAGAAATTCCACGTGTCCAATCCCTGCTCCAAATCGCGTAAATCGCTCCAGAAGGTGGGCAACGAGATATAAAGAAGGATTTGCACGGATAATCTCACCATATCACAGATTTAGTAATCATCACCTTAACCAATCCCACTATAAATAGAGGACTTCTCTCTCCTTTTAAAGTATTAGCTGGTCTCTCTCAAAAAGAGCATACACCCTCTCTCACTTGTAATCATTTGTAAAATTGGCTTGCTGAGCACGACATGACCACTATTATTACTATAATACCAGTGGACGTAGGACTTGCTTCCTTGAGCATCTGAATCACTTTAAACATTGTTTTCCATTCCTTTCACTCTCATTCTCTCATTCACGTGTGTCTTCTGGGCCAACTCAGCATTTCACACGTGCGTTTGGTTGGTGTCAAAATCACGCATTAACAATGAATTTCAAAATTAGACATGAAATTCCTAATTACTAATTAAAGAATAATTAGTAATTATTACTTAGAGAGTGGTTCTCTTCTAATTATAGAACAGGATTAAATTACTAATTTTTTTTTTTTTTTTTAATTTTGGACTTTCTTTGGCGGTAATAATTTAATGTCAACAATAAGTATTGTTTTCCATATTTCGATTGAGAACTTTCATGTCGAATTTTGATTGGAATTTTGACAGAAGTAGTGGACTTTGAATTTTCCTAGTTTAATGATTCCTAATTCAACTATTTGCTTGACAACTTATTCATACATAATTTATTGTTACTAGTGATATTAAAAATTTATTTAGTTAGCTGGAAATCGATATCGCTTCTCAATTTTGATAAAATAATACGAGTTTAGATCACTCTTTATTTAGCATGAATTGAATTGTTTTCATTTACTTAATTTAGAATTTTGTAGCGGTAACAATGACACTTTCCATGAAGGTAAATAAAAAGACATAAAAATGTTTATTGTTTTTCATATTTTGATTGTGCGTCGGGGTTGATCAAGATTTTGCATGTTGGAAATTTCATAAATATTAATGGTTAGGTCTGGCACATTATGATGCCTTGACTGGAATTTTGCTGCCTTCAAAGGTGAGTCCATTTGATTTTCTTAGAATTAAACCTAATTGCATGAATTACATGGAAAACACAGTCCTTGAGAAACAGAGTCCTTGGACTATTAAATTATTTATCTTATTTATCTTCATCTTAATATTCTTGTTGTTAATGTGCATTTAATTGTTCTTTAATAATCCACTTTTTGACACGTGTTATTTGTGTAATTGAATGGTCATCAGGTTTTGAACGGACGAGATGTGCATTGGACTATGAATAGCTTCATTAAATTTGATCGTCAGTAAATATGACATAGCTTTGGCTATAAAATTTTATGCTCCTTCTATATTTAATTAATGTTATGATTTGGGGAAGAAGATATTGATTAACAGACTAATTTGACGTTTGGTGAGAGTGACCTTCCTTGGTTTTGAAATTTGAAAAATTAATCTGCCTTTATGTTCCATCATCCATGAATTGTCCAAATTTTCTATTCTCAAAATGTACTTAGGGATATTCATTCTTTATAATTGTTTTAGCTTCCAAGAACTCTTTTTGATTACCAATCTATGCTACTTCCAATCTTCATTAATTTACTAAAGAAATGGTATTGAATTGGTTATATGGAATAATATTGAATACTTTGATTATAATTAGTTTCGAAGGTTTAATAGTTTTTAGCTTATTAATTTACATGAAACCGTTTGTTAGAGAATTTAACACTTCTACTTGTGTTAGGATTTTACCCGCGTTAAAAGGAATCAAATTGATCAATGTGTTAATTATTATTAAGAATCTTTTATGCTACATTTAGTAAACGTGAACTTTGATAATTTTTTTGAGTAATGCTACAGCCACAGATGGTAGTGCACCGAATTTGTGCATCGAATGACGTGACAAAATCCAGACTGTTGATTAATATTAAGTTAAAATTGATCAATGATTAGGATTTTGTCACGTCATTCGGTACATAAATTCGGTGTACTACCGTCGGTGACTGTATTATTTTCCAATTTTTTTTATTCTTTAATAATGATTGCAGGGTGTGTATAAATGGAGAGAGCCATTGGGGTTTTGGAGTACAACTACAAACTCGTACAAGTCATTGTCATTCCATCCAACACTTGACTTGAAAAACCTTCCTAAATCGAAATGGCTCTTTATTGTCAGCTTATTTCACCGCCTTCGTTAACTTTTAAGAGATTTTCGCCTTTAAACAGATCCTTAGTTGGATCATATAGCAACATCATTGCTCGAGCTAGTAGATCAGTACTCAAATGTATAGCTACAACCAAAACGTTCGATGAAACCATTGTTAGACGATCAACCAATTACCCACCTTCCATTTGGCCCCGTGACTCTGTTCAATCACTTACCAGTAACCATGTGGTATATTTCTGTTGTCAATTAACTTTTATTGCTTATACTTATAGAAGCATATGGTTCGCATTTGTATTTATAAGTTATTAAAATTAATTAATCTTGATATATCCGAGGAGAACCGTTTGCCAAACGGGTTGAACAACTTAAGAAGAAGTTAGGTTGATGCTTAATTCGATGGATCCTTTACATCAACTAGAGCTCATCGATGACTTGGAAAGACTTGGAGTATCTTATCACTTTCAGAATGAAATAAAGAGAATCCTAAATAAGATACACAACAATAATTCCAGCAATTATAAGCAAAGAAAAGAAAGTTTACATGTAGTAGCTCTTGAATTCAGATTTTTAAGACAACATGGCTATGATATACCTACAGGTACATAATATATATCTATCACATACATAAAAAGTTGCGATTTGCATTCATTTATGCACAATTTTTCTACCAAATATAAAATTTATTGGATTCATGAGATTCTTTTACCGTGCAACGTGATGGAAAAAGTAATTAATTTCCCTTTTCATTCTTTCATCTTTTTTCCAGAAATTTTCGAAAATTTCAGGGACGAGAAAGGAAACTTCAGGCCATGCCTCAAAGATGATTGCAGAGGAATTTTATCTATGTATGAAGCTGCATTTCTTTTGAAAGAAGGAGAGATTGCTATCTTTGATTATTTTAGAAATTTCACAGCATCCTACCTCAAGGAATATGTGAAAGAAAACAAAGATCAATATCTTTCCACTCTAGTAAGCCATGAATTGGAGCTTCTGCGGTATTGGAGGTTACAAAGATTGGAGGCAAGGTGGTTCATAGATGTATATGAGACACGACCTGACATGAACAGTATTGTGCTAGAGCTTGGTAAACTTGATTTTAACATGGTTCAAGCAACGCACCAAGAGGACATGAAGTCTGCATCAAGGTAAGAGGCTAGCTATACCTAATTAATAGTAGGCATAGTTGTTGATTTAATATCTAAGTATGAAACTACAACATAAATATAAAAGAAATTAATAAACTAAATATCATTGGAACTTCTTATATATTTTGTACACATGATAATGTTCTTTTTCATATAAAGGAAGTGGAAGAAATGGGTCTTGGAGATCTATTTAGTAGTTTTGCACGGGATAGCTGGATGGTGAGTTTCTTTTGGGCTGTGGGGATGATTTTCGAACCTCAGTATGGATATTGTAGAAGTATTTCTGGAGTGGTCAATGCTTTGATTACGACTATGGATGATGTGTATGATGTTTATGGCACTATGGATGAACTTGAACTCTTAACCATGCCGTTGACAGGTTGGTGCCAAGCCACGCAAGTTTCGTTCGATACACATATTTATTTAATTCTGCTGTTAGCTATTCCCAACCCAAAATTTTATATATGAAGATATATTTTCTTGCTCGTTATTTAGATGGGATGTCAACAAAATTGACCAACTTCCAGACTATATGAAGATATATTTTCTTGCTCTCTACAATTTCGTAAATGAAATGGGTTTTAATGCTATCAAAGAACATGCAATTGACATTATTCTTTATCTAAAGAAATCGGTAATTAATTCAGTCTATTTATATATAATATATTATGAATTTAATTTTCTAATGTTGTAGATTTATATGAGATTCATTATGATTGATATCATTATAAATTGTTTCAGTGGGCAAATTTATGCAAAGCCTATTTATTGGAGGCAAAGTGGCATAAGGATGGTTACACCTAAAGGTGGAAAAGCAACCCGCCCGGCCCGCGGCGGGTTGCTGCAAATGGCGGGTCGGTCCTGACCCGCCCGGCGACATTGGCGGGCCAGGTTAGGCCCGCCAACATTAGAGAATTGGCTGGCCCAACCCGGACCGCCTACCCTAACCCGCTGGGTTAGGCGCGGGTTGGGCCGGGTTAACCCGCTTTTTGACTTTTTTTTTAATTTTGTTTTGTTTTATTTTATTTAAGTTTAAATGTTTAATTAACTTTTCAAATGAATAATTAACAATTTATAAATGTAATTATTTTCAGTTAATTGTTAATTTCTTTTCAAATATCAATAATTAAATTAAATTAATTTTTTTTTTGTTAACATTCCAAATATTAATTCAATTTTAATACATTAAAATTGTAATATAAGAATAATTAAATTTATTCATTTATTAAAAAATAAAATAATAAATTACAATAATTATTGCCTTTTTAAAAACCTCACCAAGAAAAACCCAGTAGGACAAAAACTTGGTAAGAAAAAAAGAGTGCAATAATTAACAATTAATTTACAAGTTACAATTTACAATTTACAAAACAACTAATATTAGGGTTCACTAGGAACTCCCTCATCCGTATCATCTATATTACAAAATTGAAATGATTCTATTAAAGTATCGTCGACAACCTTGTATTAACCTTGATGGCGCGACCGTTCCCAATCTCGAAGACATGTGAGGACTTCAATCATTTGTGGTGTAAGTTTAGTCCTCCTTTCATTTAAAATTCTTCCACTTGCACTAAATGTTTGTTCGGATGAGATGATTGAGACAGGAACAGCAAAAACATCCAAGGCAAGTCTTGATAATACCGGAAAAATACATTTTCTGGCTCTCCAATAGTCTAAGAGATCAATATTGGCTCTCTGTTGTGGATCTACTGGTAACATTTCAGGGGTTACCAAATATTGTTGAAGCTCATTAGTCTGCGACTGCATGGAAGACAGTACATTAGTTGTTGTTGTTGTTATTGGTGGAGCCTCTGAAGAGGAGGTTGTGCTTCGGATTCGGGTCCTCTTCGGCCTATTTAGTGCACCCCAAGAGTAGAAGTCTTCATTTGTTTCTTCTGATGCAGCTTCCCTAGATGTTTCGCCTCTTTGGGGGTTCCCATACATGTTTTCATACTAGAAATATACTTCGAAAAGTGTATTTTTTACCTCTCCTATTTGATTGGCATATACTTCGGTTTGTAAATTTTCACATAAATTATCAAAACCATTTTCTAAACCTGCTAATTTAATTCTAGGATCAAATATAACACCTAAACAATAAAGAAAAGGAATGGGTTTCTAATATTTTTAAAAAAAAAAATTCCATTGCCTTTATTAGTGCATTTAAAATTACATTGTCTTTGTTTTTTATAAATAACTCGAAATTTTTTATAATTATATGTATTATCAATGGACTAGTAGGATAATACACACCAGAAAGTTGTAAAGTGGATTGGTAAAAAGTTTTAAGAAAAGAATGAAATACTTTAGCTATTTGCCAATCATTTTCTACCAAATAATGAGGACCTCTATTATTTGCTACAAAATAACTAATTATATTAGCATAAGGTAAACATGAATCAAGCATTAAATAAGTACTATTCCATCTAACAAGCATGTCTAATGCAAAAGTTCTAGGAGACATATTTGATTTTATACAAACGTCTTGAAATTTAGCATTTCTTTTATTACTACTAGTAATCCAAGCTAAACAATCTCTAATTCTATTAATATTTTCTTTAATTGTTTTCATACCACTTTTCACAATTAAATTAATAACATGGCATGCACAACGTTGGTGAAAAAACTTCAAATTGTTATATAAAGGATAATTACTTTGAAAATAATCTATAGCTTTACTATTAGAACTTGCATTATCTAAAGTTAAACTTATCACTTTACTAACAATATCATAATCTTCTAAAACTTCAACAATTTTATTATAAATTTGTTTACCACTATGATCAACATCCATTAATCTAAATCCTAATAAAGATTTATTTAATTTACATTCATTATCAAAATAATGACTAGTCACAAAAATATAATCTTGTTTAGCTCTACCACTCCAAATATCGGCAGTTAGAGCCACACTAACATGACAAGTATATATTTTATTTTTTAATTCTACTTTCATTTTTTTAAACAATTTTATTAAATCATTTTTAGTTGAAGTTTTAGAATAACTTTTAAATCCTGGAAAAAATGAATTTTGATCAAATCTTTCAAAATATTTATCTTCAGCCATATTAATAGGTTGATCAGTTGCAGCAATATATAAAGCTAACTGTTCCCTATATACATCATAACTATAATGCCAATTAGTACCCATATTAGTTATTTGAGTTTGATTGCTTTCTCTATTTCCATGTTGATTAATATGTTTATTAGCATGCCTTTTTAAAGTACTAGTACCATTACCTGAATCAGCTTTACAAATATTTCCACAGTATTTGCATCTCGCTTTCTTGATTTGAATGCCATTTTTTGTCTCATAAAACTTGTCAAAATGCGGCCAAACGTCTGATGTGTGTCTGTCTTCGCTTCCAGCGGTAGTTGATGATCCCGCCTCAGCTTGAGATGAAGTTTGACGAGCACGACGATTAGGAGGACGACTTCTAGAACCACCGGGAGCTGTTGGAATCGGGGGCATAGTTTGAGGTGTATCGAATTCTGAGAATGGGAAAGCGGGACTATTTGAATCTCCTCCTGCATTTATGTTAGTAAAATCAGCGAGACTAGGACTAGGATAGTAGTTTCCGTCATCATTGTAATTGATGGGAGAGAAATGTCTATCCATTGTAGTTGAAAAAAAAAAATTGATGTAGAAGAAATAAAAATTAAAGAAAGAGAATTGGAGTATGGAAATTGGAATTTGGAAAATTGGAAAATTGGAAATATGAATTAAAAATTGCAAAAACTAATAAAAATTAAAATATGAGCAAATTGCAAAAACTAATAAATGAATAATTAAGAGATTAGAGATTAGAGAATATGAGAGAATGAGAGAATTTGAGTTGTGAGAAAAATGTGAGAGTTTAGGGCTAATTTATAGGAAAAAAAGGGGAAAGAAAAATGATGAAAAAGACCCCTCTAACGGCTATATTTCAAGGGTAAAGGGGTAATTTGAAAAATAAAATAAATTTTTTTATTTTTTTCTTATTTTTTTGGGCCAACCCGCCGGGTTGGTTGTTGCAACCTGATGGGTTGGTCGTTACAACCCGCCGGGTTGCACACAGCCAACCCGGCGGGTTGCCGGGTCTCCTGCAAAAGAGACAAAACAGCAATCTGCCAGGTTACGGGTTGCCATTGTGCAACCCGACCCGCCCGGGGGTTGTTGCAAAGTTTAACCCATATTTTTCCAGGCCGAGTTAGGGTTGACCTGCCTAACCCGGCCCAAATTTTCCACCTGTAGTCACTTCTTGATTATTTTGTTAAATATTTGCTTCTATGTTTTTTTTTTTTTTTTTTTTTCTTCTTCTTCAAATTTAGCACAAGATAGCAAGAGGTGATGTTCCTAAATCTATCCACTATTACATGCATGAAACTGGAGCATCTGGAACAGATATAGGAAATGATTGCCGCAGCGTGGATGAAGATGAATAGAGATCGGTTTGGAAACCCTCATTTTCCAGAAACTTTTGTTACAACTACGATGAACCTAGGCATGATGGGTCAATGTGTGTACCGATATGGAGATGGGCATGGTATTCTAGACATGAGTAAAGATCGTATAATGTCAATATTTGTTGATCACATTCCATTAATTAATGAAGATGGTTACAAGAAATGATGAAAGTTGAGATAACTTTCTTCATCTTTTATTTTGAACATAAGAGAATAAAATTGTATTGCTTTCTTTTTTTCATATTTGAAGTGCTTGTGGCGCAGCTCTAGAATTGTAAAATGATGCAAAGGGCATGGCATCGTAATAATTCTACCCAAAAAATGACTACTACGAGGTTGTTGCATCCTAAAATATATGTTTTGACATCGTGGGGCATCAAAAAAATGTTCCAATTCTGACGCTAGAGCTTGCATCGGAATAGCATGTCTCACATTAGTTATAAATTTTTGTAGTGTCAGCAGTATTGTGAAATGTTATACATAATAAAATTGTATCCCTTTGTTATTATTTTCATCTTTTACTTCTCAGCTAATTAAGCAGTGAAATGGAATTGATATATTGTACGTAGATTGATTATAATTAGACTTTTATGTAAATTTCACAGACAAAAGATAAATATGGAATATAGTTTTTGTAATTTAATTCAACTGTACATAATAAAAGTTTTTTTTTTTTTTGACTTGTTTGACCATTGATATTCTTCTTCTATTTGAATCTGCATGTTAAATAATGCATTGCTTCAATAACAAAATTGAATTTGCATAGCAGTCAAACTCATTATTTTTAAGTGTGAATTAGAGGTGGGAATTAGGCCGGACCCAAAAAATCTAGCCCAAAAACCAGTCCTTGGGAGGACTGGTCCTAGCACCAGACCAGACTCAAGGGAGGAGGGGCTCGGCCCAGAGCCGGTCCCTCCTCCAGTCCCAGTCCCAGGCCGGCCTAGGCCTAGGCCCAAGCCCTCTCCCCAATTTTAACCCTTGTAAAATATCCAAAATCCCTTATTTAATATAAAATTGACAATAAATATAAGGGTTAAAATGAAATGAAATTTTACAAAAAAAATTGTCCAGATCCACAAGACCGAAATTGTCCAGATCCACAAGACCGATCTTGGGATCGGTCTTATGGGCCCATGCCGGCCCTAGGGATTGATCTTGACCTTGAGAAATCTCATGGGCCTAAGACCGATCCTTGATTATTTGGGCCCAGGCCTAGGATCGACTGGGCCCCGGTCTTTCTGACCTCTTGTGTGAATTTCACAGTCATCTTCACTGTATATTAAGGCCAAGATGCCCGTGTGAAATGAAGCAGAAGAGTAGCTTTTTTGCATCAAATGGGCTCTGGTTTGTGCTCA